GTGGAAATGACTAGGGGCATTCCAATAGACACATCTGATGGACTTCAAGAAACACTTGACCCCAATTAGTAAAGTCCAACCCCTGCTCTGCATCTGAAAGGTTCTTTAGCCTACTCTGGGTGTGGTGGTGCACTCCTTATGGAGAAGTTCTTTAGCTCCTTCCCCACACCTGACAGTTCTCTGCATTAGAAAAGATGAGATTTTCTCTTGATGGGATTATCACCAACGGATGCAACTGGCCTGGTATGACTAAGCCCTCATAGGTTTGTTAATTGCTTCTTATTGTCTGTAATCTGGCAACCAATCTATGAAGTGTCATGAAACATACATGTGTAATGTCTCCTTGAACTATAAATAAAGATGTCCAGTTCGTCTGGGTGGCACAAGTTGCTTGGGCTACCTAGGCTCAGGCTGCCTGTGTCCATTTCTACTCTATGTCTTTGTTTCATTCTTTCCAATTCCCTGGTCCTGGCAAGATGGAGGGCTTTCTCTTTCTTGTCCTCTTTCTCTTCCTCACCAGCAGCCCCCTGATCATGATTCAGCCAGACCCAAGCCCTGGGCAGATGCCAACAACTGGCCTCTGTGCCCACCACAAGACCCAGGCCCTTAGTTACAGCATAGGCCAAGCAAAGCCCTCATGGGATCCATTACGTGAGCCGCCCATACCCACGTCCGTCCACCATGGCCATCTCTGAGCTAGCTGTACACCCCAACCCCTCTATTGCCCTGGCCATGCTAGGCCCACCCCTGCTCTTCCTCCCGAGTGCCCAAGGCCATCTGCCCAAGGCCATCTACAGTGCCACCACTCTCCTTGACAACTGGTTTGAACATCCTGCATTTGCAATCTCCCCCATGGGCCCCTTCCACCTGTCACCTCCATCCTTGCATTGCACGGACCGCCTTTGCTTGCCTGCCTGAGGCAGTGCCCTCCTGTCCTCCTGTAGCACCACCCTTTTAGCCCCAGGTTGCTCCATTTTTCTCTTTCTTGCCAGAGGACAGGCACATGTGTTCACAGAGAAAGAGAGATAGCACTCGGGTGAGGCGTGGTCATACCGCAATCCCTTTCCCTCCCTATCTCCATCGTGTCAGGAGTTTGGACACGTGTGCCTGGTGTGCTTCCTAAGTCACCTGGGCTGGAACTCAAACCAAGGTAGGCTTCATGGGATCCAACATCCCTGACCACCAGGCCAAGGGGCCATGACTCTATTTTCCTTTTCTTTTTTAAATTAATTTATTTCTTCCACGAGAAATAGGCACCAGCCAAAAAGGTCTTCATGCCACCATTCATTCTTGGCCTCAGCCAGCTAGGATCATGGCATGGATACTTTCAGAAGGCAAACCCAGGGCCTTCCCCTCTGGCCTCAGCGTCAGTATAGATACCGCAGCCACTGCTGACCAGCCCCAAATCTCTTATCCAGCCCACACACAGCACAGTAGCTCCTCTAAAGTCCAGCTATGTTCAGATTTCCTCCCTGCTTTAAAAATCTGTCATTATAGCTGATCCTGTGGCCTATTGGTTAAGGGAGCCAGATCCCACATGGCCAACAGCGTGGTTTGAATCCTAGCATGTGACTTGAAAAACACAGCAGGTGCATGTGTCCCCCCAATCCTGACAGGGTAGAGAAATGGGGAAGAGACTGCAGCTTGACCGTTCCCTCTCCTCCCCCTCTTGTCCCTGGCGAGTGCACAGACTCTCTGGCAATAACAAAAACCCTGGCGTGAGCCCAGCCATTGTGGCCCAGGTACAAGGGGCATCCTTGTGCCATGGGAACTACAGAGAGGTCAAGTTCAGATTTGGGGTTGACATGAACACACTAGGCATGCCTATGACCCTGGCTGGCTCATGTATGAAGGCCCTGTTGGGAGTCAGTTTCTCACTCACAGAAGATATAAACTTTGGAAATAAAAATGAGACCTGCCATGGCTTCCCAGTGCCAGCAGTACAATCCTGCCAACTTCCAAGGCCCCCCGACAAGCCCAAATCCAGCTTTTCATCTGCATCAACAGCTTTTCCCCTTCAAGGACCTTTCCCGCTGACCCAGTTACATTTCTGCACTCGCTCTGCTCCACCAACAATCCATTTCCTGGTCTGATCTACGCACCTTTTTGCACACTGCCTTTCCTTACCGATTTCCAAACCCTCATCCTCAGCTCAAAGGACACTCTCCGTGAAACCTTCCCTAACCTCTTAGACCAGGAGTGATTCTCAGTACCTGACATTCACTCATCCGACAGACAACTCCTGGGTGCTTCCCCTGTCCTAGACGCCACACTGAGACAGCATAGATAGGGAGCACAGGGACATGGATTGTGCCCTTGCCAAGCCCTGCCAGGGCTGAAGGTGACCACAGCACATTCCACAGGCCTGTGCACCTGTGGGCATGGACAGTGGCTTATCTTGAAGGTAGAAAATAGCTCTGGTCTTGTTTACACTTCTAGCTCACAAGACCCAAACTGAGTCCCTGGTCTACACTATGATGAAGAGGACACACATTTCTAGGGACCAGCAGTTAGCGTAATGGCTATGTCACTGGACTCACATGTAGTAGACCACGGTTCGAGTCCCGGACCCAGTGGCCTAAACTCACGCCGGGCACGTGTGCGTGC